CGGTGATTGCATCCTTGCGTACTTGGCTCCTGAGTTTTGGGGTGCTGGCTCAGCACAGGTTTTATCGCTTACGTTTTAAAAATGTGTTGGCAGGTGTCAGGGCACCCGTACTTTGTACTAAAACGCGCCTTGAAATGACTTGCATGGCAGGTAGCCCCAGATTCACGCCGTGCAAGGAGGACCTGCACTCAGCACTGTTATTAAACACATTCCTGGAGTCTTAAGCAGAAACGTTAGGTGGAGGCAGGAGGAATGCGAAAACCATTTTATTACCCACATCCAGTGCTCGGTTTTGGTGGGATGGAGACTTTCAGGAAACACAGCGACATAAACATTTTTGCCCCTTTTGGGGGTACTGCCTCAGTGACTTAGATGTTTTTTAAAAGTTTGAATTGGAATTCAGCAAACTTCTGCCGGAATTTTCTCAGTTGGACGTTAGAAGCGTTTCCATCCCTTATACGAGGCAAATTAGAAGCCTTTAAAAAGCCTCTGTTTGAATTTTCTTTTCTTTTTGTTTTTTTTTCCGGTCCCGGGAGTCGAACTCACGACCTTGCGCTTGCCAGGCAGGCGCCGTGCCGCTGAGCTAAATCCTCACCCCCTTTCTGTTTGAATTTACGTGTAAAAAATTCTGGTTATTAGTCCACAGTGTTTTCAGGTAGGAAAAAATGACAAATGAGGTGGGACCACGTTAAAAAGCAACTTTTTCTTTCCTAAGTGAAATAGTTTCCTTGTAGTTAGCTGTCCTTTCAGTTTTTGTGGCTAGGTATATGAAGAGTGAAAAAAGGGAATGCTCTACTTCTTGGGAAGTTTCAGTTCAAAACCAACTTTTTTGTGGAAGTGGGAGATAGGATTTAGGTGTGTTTCATCAATATACCTCTTTGGCCAGAAGTCTTGGTTGGGGTTTTTTGCACAGCACCATGAAATGTCTTTAAGAGTCTTGGAAAGACACTTAAAACAGTTCATGAAAGTTTGTTATTGCAAACGATATCTTGGATGTTAAAGGAACATGTAATTAACACATTGAAGTGAATTGTAGTGTGCAGTCTAATGAAATAGCACAGAAGGGCTTGAAAAGGGGCGCACTACACACACTTAGCACACTGCAGCGTTCCAGTGGCTTTGAGGAAGTCAGTTAACTACTGTTAATCTGTAAAATAGGAGAGTTGAACTACATGTCTTCCCTACCTGAAGCTGTGGTTAAGAAACTAACATAAAGGAGCTTTTAAATTACCTAGGCACAAGCTAAACATACACAGATAGAGTTAATAATTTTTTTTAATCTTACCGCAGGTACATTTCTTAGGAAAGGGTGAGTTGCTTTCATATAGCAGTACAACTCAACCTGTACTCTGAAATCTAATGAAGGCTTATTTTTGCTATTTTAAAATATTTTTTCTTGTAATTTTTAGTTCAATTTTGAAATCATTCCAACTTAGAAAACTTGCACATAATAAATTTCTTTTTTTTTTTTTTTTTTTTTTTTGGTTTTTCTCCTGTACCGGGAACCGAACTCACGACCTTGCGCTTGCCAGGCAGGCGCTCTTGCCGCTAAGCTAAATCCCTAGCCCCAAAATTTCTGTAATTCTGGTCAGCATTCCTTGGGTAGAAGTTTGTTATCTAGTACCTCATCGTACAAAAATACAGTAATTTATCCGACTGAAGAGAGTTTAGCTCAACCTCAGTAGCTCTTTAGCTGTGAGAAGAAATACCTTTGGGGCCAAACTTTGAAGAGTAAGTGCAGATTAGGTACAGTGATGGGCAGTCCTTTCAACTCTGGAAGTTTGTAAAGTACAAAGTAAAACTTCAGAGATGTATATTGTTAGATGTTTCATCATTTTCTGTGAGAGCTTTAATAATAGCCAAATTTATAAGAAAAACAATTAAAGATGAATTAATTGTTCACTGTGAGTGATCTTGAAGAGAAATGAGACGTGAGATAAAAAGACACCTTTCTGGCGCATGCCTGTAATCCCAGCACTCGGAAGGCTGAGACAGGATCATTGCGAGACCAGCCTGGGCTATAAAGTGAGTTCAAGGCCGGCTTGAACTGCATATGGAGACCCTGTCTCCGAAAGACCAAAAAAAAAAAAAAAACTCCAAAAGACAAAAAAAAAAAAAAAAAAAGACACCTTTCAAATTTGTGTGTTCTGGTACTTATTTTTTAACAGAGCAAAACCTTCTACAGTTTTAAATTCACTGATTGAACCAAGTTGGATTATGGAGGTAACTGTTACTTTGTTCTTGTAAGTGATGTTCTTATATTCAGCAGGCGTGATCTTCGAGGTTGTATTAATAGTAAATTTTTGTAGTTTATTAATTTTAAGAAGGCAACCTGACCTCCAGATGTTATGCTTTACTTAGCAAAAGCAATTGAGTAAATTGGGGTGGAGTGCCAATTTATTTTTGAGATTGTTTTTTCAATTACTGTATTATGCTAGTGAGTAAATGGCAAATATGTAAAAGTTTGAGTGATTTGTTTAAACAAAGTTCAAGTTTTTTAACTTTGAACAGATAGACTTACAGAATGGTACAATGCCAAGATAAAATTGTAGCTCCTTCAATTTCCAAATAAAAGATTAGGTACTACATAGAGAATCCAGTTTGAATTCATAATGCAGTTATACTTGCATGACATAAGTGACAGAAGTGATAGGAATATTATGAAGGCTTATTGGATGAATATGGAGTAGGAGATAGGATGAGATCATCTTGTTAGCTTAGCTTTCATAGAAGTTCAGAAGATAGAGAGCAGCACTGAAATGCAAAAGTGTAAGAATGCCCCTAGAGGTAAGTGCTAGAGTTTTGACATTTGTTATAGTAGTATGGTCCCCTGTCTCCCATAGCTAAGTTGCTGCAGAAAAGTGAGGAATTTTAGGCCTAGCTTTAAAAATTGAAAAGGAGTAGGTTTGATTTTAGCAAGTGATTGTATTTCTTCATGTTATAGTGAAAAGAATGGGCTGGACGTGTCACTCAGTGGTAGAGTGTGTGCTTAGCATGCATGAGGCTTGAGTTTAGTATCCAGCACCAAAAAAAACCTTGTAATAGAGCCAGTAGCACAATCAAGAAAGGTATTTTGGCTCTGCTACCAACATACGTTTTGACTTGACTTCCTACGGACTCAGTGATCTCTATGATCTTTTAATTCATTAAAAATAGTAATTGATGCTGATCTCAATGTGATGTGCTTGATGCTGATCTCAGTGTTGTAGTAAGTGGAAGAGATCCCATATCTTAAGATCTGTGATCCTGCATCATCTATTGCCTTTTTCTCTGTAAAACTGAGCACAACTTTCAGGGCTTGCAGTTAAAAGTCCCAGCAACAGCCTAGTGTAGTCACACACA